CATCTGGAGTGACTCAATATCCTGAAACAAATTACTAAGCATTTAAAACAAGAGGTTCATTTGAGGGAAACTCACCAACATTTTCAAGTTAAAGCTGCAAAATATATATATATATATATAAAACCAATTCTCACTCCCGATTCGTCACATATTGACGCTTTTCCAAAGTGCCCTCTGCGTCCCATTTTGATGCATCGGGTACTCCCCTTGCGTCATTTTTTGACGAGATGGGGCGAAATCTGTAGTCATAATTTCTGAAAGTGTAGAAAATGCACCAAAACTACCGTTCCAAAGCCTAAAATTACCTTTATTCAATTTAGACATCATGTCCCTGACCCTAGTACGTAAAATTAACTATTTTTGAAAATGTAGGAAATTCACGTGAACTATGTGTTCCAAAGCCTAAAATTACCTACTATTCGCTGTAGACATCCTATCCCTGACCCCAGTACCTAACCATTTATCCTAATCCCTCATGTTACACTCAGACCCCCGACCCAAAGACCCCTGGTGGCACAACCCGGAAAAGCCATGGGCGGCAAGGACTGATGTGAGGGGGTCACCTGACTCGTCAAAACAAGACGCAGAAGGAACTTTGGAAAAGTGTCAATATGTTGATGAGTTGGGAGTGAGAATGTGTTAATATATCTCCTACATATCTAATAATTTTGCTGCCTTTAAGACAATGATTTGTAGCCAGAACAAAGCAAGGTTGTGACAAATGACACCTGTTTTCTTCATGTGGGTCAATTTTTTTTAATTGTGTGATAATCAATACTTTTAGATGACTCATTTCTAACTCAACGTTTTCTTAAAATTTTGCATAAACATAGATACGCTATTTAACTTGTTGTGGGTTTTTTTGTCCTTGTCCTATTTTTTTCCCCAGAATATGAAATTGTAACTCCATATGAAGTCAATCACCAAGGTGTGTACATCTCACATGAAATCATGCACCATCAGCTCAGAAGACGCCGTAGATCCCTAACTCCAGATGCCAACTCCTCAAACACCGACAGCAGCGAAACAGTTCACTTCCGGCTCAGAGGCCTGGGTCAGGACTTCCACATGGAGCTGAGGGCGGCGTCGGAGAGCCTGATCGCACCTGGCTTTACTATCCAGGTCCTGGGAAAGAATGGCACCAAAAGCCTGAGGGCCTACCACCAAGATGACCACTGCTTTTACCAGGGGTCACTGAGGTCAGGGGTCAACTCCTCTGTGGCTCTGTCCACATGCTTGGGGATGGTGAGTCTGAACATGCACAGAGTCAGGTTGCAGAAGGAACTGAGCCAGAAGGAGGGAGAAATTAGTCAAATTTGAGTTGGTGTGTGTTTTTGTGTCAGAGCATTTGGAGGTCACTCCAAATGAAAGCATGTGTCGTGGACGTTCTTCATTTAGATTGTTTGGGTAGAGCTGTAATTGCACTACCTGATTTGGAGGAAATTTTGAACCTGTCAAAAATATTTGACCTATTCTAAGAATGTGATTGAATAAACATTGAGACTGGGGCTTTTTATAAGGTTACTAAACTAAGAAGTGGTAAAAGTTGAGCGACAGGAAAGACAAATTAGCTAAAACTACAAGTCTGTTGCTGTAAGACAATTATGTTTATTCAAAACATTGCTCTTGTCATCAGTTTCATTCTGCTTCTGTGAAGCTACCCTCCAAAAAGAACTCAGCAACAAACTTTCTGCTCCGTGTCAGCAGAAAGTTTGTAGTTGATGTTACTTGAATTCCCACTGGTAATGCAGGTAAGTCTTGTCAATGTGTCTGTGATGTGTCCTCACTTCAGTCTTCATTGTACTTTACCTAAACCTGCAATAGAATAACTAATGTGAGGACAAGTGAGGCATTTCACCTTGTCACGCTTGATTTGTAAGCCTGGAAAATGCTAAACAGATGGCTAAGCATCTGGTCATAGACTAATAGTACATGAAGTTCAGTTCAGGGATAAAAAAAAATCTGACATTCCTTACCATGGAGTAGCATGCTTATGCAAAGGGTACCTTTTTAGGGGCTTAATGGCAAATTAGCTGGGCACCATAATAAAGTGAAAAGTCTGAATTCAAATGACAGTATATATGACAAATATAATTTCACAATTTTATTTTTTTACACATGAAGACTGAACTGCAATACTGAATTAAATATATTATATGTAATAAAACAATATATTAGGCCTCTATTTGCAAGTCAGCCCACTTATATCCAAATTTATTGTGTTAATTTATTACAATGATCTGACTAATGTATGTGGAAATTGGTGTCGAGAGGGTACAGAGACTGTTGATTTTTTACATGGAAGTTTGAAGTAATTAAACTTTGTGTTAATATAGGAATGAATCACATATTTTAGGCACTGATTTTAGGCATGAAGTAATTCTTAACATTATATTTTACAGCTATAAGACAAAAGTGACAACGGGAGTTGCATTTGTCCAAAAAGCTTTATTTAGTTTTTTTTAATCTTTTTGAAGCTCGACTCTCAAAACAGGCTCTCACACCTTGGCTGTGGAAGGAGACCCAGGACACACTGGAGGGACTATGTTTGTAATATGTGAAAGCTGATTCAGCATTTATACTACACTTATCCTATTTATAGTTTCCTCTGTATGCTTTTTTATTATTATTTAATAGTATTAGTTTGAACTCCAGTATGATTTCAGCTAATTTAATCAATCATATGTCAAGATAGTCACCTCACACAGGACAATGTGTCTTTGTAACTCTTTTACTTCTTTAAATATTTAAGTTTTATTATTTTTTCTACCCGTTTAAGTGAATTGGGATTACTGTCTTTAAAAAACATTGTGCTCTTTTGAATAGTACTTCAGTATACATGTTTCTTATTTTGCTTATTGAATAATGTTTAGCCAAATTTAGCTTTTAATTACTGTTGTACTAGTTTTAGTTTTAATGTACTGTTTTGCAAGTTTTACCTACAATTTTGCAGGTTTTAATTAGCCACTGTTTTGTTTATAAGTACTGTTTTGAAAACTTTTGCTTTTATCTTGCTAATTTTAGCTTTTGTTCTGAATGATTTAACTTCACCAATTCAGTTTCAGCTTCTTCAGCACATTGTCAAAATCATTCAACGCTCAGCAGTCAAAGTGCATTTACTGCAAAACTGCAATCTTTTTTGTTCTTGTTCTGACTTTTCTTTTTGGAGAAAGTTGGCTGGGTTTCAATTGTTGCCTTGGTGGTCCTTTTCTGATCCATAAGCATAAAAGAAAACATTACTGTAAGATTTACAATAGGGAAACCAAAGGGCCTCCCCTCACCCAAAGATCCCTACTGCTATTCAAGCCTTCTTAGCAGACTGGACAAGAGAACAAAGGACTTTATGAATTTATATTTAATCCTCTCAGTCTTAAAATTACATATAATATTCTCAAGTTTAATAAAATAAGATTTAAAACAAAATCACTTATGACCGCATTTCATCTTAACCTGGCCTTTTTTAAGTAGAAAAGTTGCTTGGTTCATTCTTGCTAATTAGCTGTTAATATCTGTATAACAGTAAACGAGTTCCTAGTATGAGAATTGGTTCCCCATCTGTGATCGTGTGAGATTAGTTACTACTAAAAGATTAAACCTGGAAAGTCCATGGTTGCAGTGACTGCAAACTTGGTTCTCACGAGTCACGCTGGTTAGGACAGATTTGGGTAGTGCTTCAGTGGGAATTCAACTTTTTCTGCTGGGAGTTAGGGACTTACTAAAGCTTTATCAGCAGTCAGATATTTAGACTGCATGGGAAAGACAGTAACCATTTCTCAAAAATGCCTTCGTGTTGCTTCCTGCATGTTATTATTAATGTACTGTTTCACAGCAGCATCTGACCAATCAGTAAATATGATTACATGAACTTTGTCTTAAAATAAAGTGCTGCGGTATGCTCGAGGATAATGATTCTTCTGAGAATATCAACTTCTGAATTTAGTGACTGAAATATGTAGTGTATCATATAAAGACTGGCTGAGAAAAAGCAAAAAGAACTGAAGATTATAAGGGTCGTTTACTCCCTGTTAGACATTATGAGAACTGAACCCACCCTTTGTAGGTAGTGTTTGATGTTGTACACTAAATTCTCTTCTGGCAGCCCGTATAGTGGTCAGCTTAGCTTTAGGAAAACCAACTAACAATCCTGTACGTAAAAGCAATTACTGGTGGAACAAAAGTAGCATGCCAATCCCACTGAGTTCATCTGCCAAATGGGTTCATACTTCTTACATGGACACATGTGTAAAAGGCAAGATCATAAACTGTTCCTGTAGACTTTGTCACTGCGTAATGCACTTTAGTCTGGCTTTCATTGGGGTGAGGGTGCCGTAGGATAAGTGGAATGCTTACTGTAGTAGACATTGTTTCAGCCATGTTCTGTAATATTTATTTATCTTTTTTTAGTTTTATAAAGTTACATTCAAGGGGAAAGCTTACTTACAGAAAGGAGACGTGTCTTGCATGATGCCGCTTTGAGTGGAGTGAAGGCCCCTGGTCAAAATGACAACTGAGAACAGGTGAGAATGGGTGGGGCACGAGTTGAGGAGCAGAAACTGACTGAGGAAGAGAGTGATGCAACAAGACACTTGGAAAAACTGAAACACAAGAAACAAATATTTACGCAAATAAATCAAAAATAACAAAACACCAAAAGTTACCAGTGAACTCAAATGAAACAGATTGTGACATACAACAAAAAAAGAAACTTGTGAAAGGTAGTACAAATCAGTTGATGAGCATAGCTTTTTTTTTTTCTTGTAAAAAGGTAGGTGTGTATCTTGCCTTCAGGCTAGCAGCAATAGTGATAATAAAATGCTGCACACTCTTTCCACCTCTGGGATTTCCAAAAATAAATAAGGGATTTATGTGATAGAGCTTTGAAGAGCAAACAGTGTGTGTGGTCAAAGAATTCATTTTTAGTATAGGATTCATAAAAAAAAGTAAAAAATTGTTCCCATTTTTATCAGATGCAGATATTAATCCCTGTTTCCTCAGTCATAAAGAGTCAGTTACACTGTTAAAAACAGATCACATTTACTTAACTCAGTTTGCAACATTTTTCCAAACTGATGGGCTTCTTTTAAAAGCACGGAACGTATGGAAAAAATAAATAGGAGAGCCACATTCTGCTCACATTCAAGTGCACCTTGTGCTGCACTGAATCTCCCCACCTCGTTTCCGTTGCACTGTTTTACACGCCCATCCTATTCCTGTTGCTGCTTGTCTGGATGAGTCGACTCCAGAGAGTCCAGCTGTTTGCGCCCTCCCAAGTAGTGTTTTATGACTGCTATTTGCACCTTGAGGAGCACAGTGTGTAATCTGATGACTCTGCTGTTTAGGAAAAGGTCTTGTGTGACCTAATCTCCTAACAGTGGTCTGTGTACCTGCACACATAAAATAAAGGGCAAATGCATGTCATTTGAGTGAAATTTAGCTTAAGGCCCTGTCACAACTGTAACTTATTTCCAACTTATCAGCAAGATGTTGGTGTATGCTGAAAATGGTGTGCATTGACAAAACTTTTGGCTGGCATCGGTGTACGACAATTTATGCATGCTGGTAACTTATTCAGAACTAAGACCTAACTTATTTGACAAACATACATTTTACTATACTTATTACTTATTACTTACTTATTACTTATATTTATTACATACTTATTATGTACTTGTTTGATTTTTGTCATGTTTTTATACATTGACATACTATACATCACAGTGTGACAGCTAGAGCTGGCCAGTTCCTGACTCACCCGAGTTAAGAACCAAATTCTCACACTAAATTAGGACCCCCGAGTTCGAGCTGAATTAACCCAGATCCTAAATGACCTCTGGCATACTGCCACGCTGTCTGCGAGTTAAGCTAGATTTATACTCAACATGTCAAAAGTGACGCAATAGCGCCGTCCCCGCCCCTGCGCTTTGGCCCCGCACGGCGTTTTGCGCGTGTCGTGCACCTCTGATTTTTTTGAAACTCTGCAAAGGCTAGTGCGCACGCCGTTGACAACACGAAGCTGCTCACGTATTCGGATGTACCAGCTTTTATATGATCCCTCTATGAGAGATCATAAAGATGTTCAAATGGCACAGAATGTTTGGAAGGAGATCGCTGAAGCGATGCAGAAAGATGAATCCGTGTGTAGGCTTGGAAGAATGAATTGCATGTTCTAGTATTAAGTAAATTTACTTATCTGAAAAATAAACCAAAAGAATGTCTTAGAATTACTCTTTCGATCAGTACTAATA